GAGAGAGAGAAAAAAAAAAAAGGAAGGGGAAAAGTAAAAGGGCAACGATGGAGGCTGTTGCTGAAAGTTACTTTACCAGCGGTGACATGAAGGCGGCAGCCACATTTTACTGCAATCTGATGGTATTGCATCCTAGGTACGTGAAGATGGCACGTATATGTAGAGTTCTGGCGGATCCCTCCGCGGTCCCCCAGCCACACCGGTACGCAGACATCGTGGAGGCACTTTTAGAGCCCACCGTCACCCATGAGGCCCTCTTTGGTGTCGATGCGGGTCCTGCAGACATCAACAAGGCCTACCAGCGCTGGACACTCTTGGTGCATCCGGACAAGAACCCCTACCCAAGGGCAGGGGACGCCTTCAAGCGGCTTTTTACTCTCAAGACGATGGCACTCGAAACCGCCAACGCGATGAAGGAGAGGAAAGATTGTGGAAACTTATTGCACGGCGGTAGAAGACGTGGGAGAAAGAATTCCAATAAAAAGTCGGATGCTCCCGCAGCGCGAAGTCGACATGATGCAAACGCATCCCTCTCCGTACAGTCATCGGTGATTGACATGACGCTCTCCGAGTTGAAGAAGAAACAAGTCATCCTGAAGTCTTTGAAGCGAAAGGACATTGATGACAACGAGCTCCCGGAATTAAGGGCCGCTCTCCGTAGAGTGCGGGAACGTCGCTTCTGCTCGCGTCCCACGACGCCGTCGGTATTGACAGCCCCATGCATGACGACACCGTCACTCTCACCAGAGCAGTCCGTCTTGTCCACCGCTTCATGTCCGCCGCACGGATTCCACCCCGCGACGGAAAAGCAAAAATCGCTGACGCCTCCACCGCTTCCAAAAATAGGCACATTGCTGAAGACAGTGGCTTTGGACGAACAAATACAAAGCAGCTCAACCGTCAACTCTTCGCAGTGTGTGCTGTCCGACACGGTTTTGGAGGAGCAACTGGATGAATTATTCACGGAGGAAGTCCGCCCGGGCCAAGAACAAACCACGACTGACGTGGAGCCGGAGTTACCTGAAAATGAAGATGTAAAGAAATTGAATGAAAAAAATGGAATAGAGAACACATGTTCTATCATTCGGAAACCAGAAATTGCAAATTCCTCCCCGTCGCCGCCCGCGTCGGTGACGGATGACGGCGTGCCGCTCAAAGATGCGGTCAAGGGAAGTATCATTGAGTTGATTCGAGGCATTCAAGAGATTAAGGTCAACCGAACAAAACTTCGGCTGAGTTGTGATCTCACGTTTGCCACATATGAACGGGAGAAGCAACAGCAGAAAAGAGAAGCTGACATGAAAGGGAAATTTGCGGAATGATTGGGCTTTGCATGGGGGATACACCAGATATTCTACAAAAACGGTATGTATATTTCCCCATTCACCTATTTCACGGAATGCGCTGTGTGTTTCTTATTGTAGTTCCCCCTTTTGTTTGTTGTGTTGTGTTGTGTTGTTTTTCTTTACCCATTATTGTAATTATCCTTTCTTTATTTGTACATTAGGAAGGGGCAGGACAAGGGGAAAAAAAAAAAAATTTTTTTTTTTTGAAGGGTACCTTTGCTCCCACTTTATTGCGTGATTGTACCCCATCGTGCGGTATGAACGATGAGTTTATCCTTCTCCCACTTATCACTGTGTGTACGATTTCTTCCTTATCTATCTGGTTACTCTCTCTCTCTCTATATATATATATATGAATCTCTCATCGTCTTTCTTTGCGTGCATTGCAGTGATAAGAAAACAAAACTGAAGGAGTGAAAAAGAAAAAAGACCCCTTACGCAGCCAACCACACACACACACACACACACAGAGGGAGAGAGAGAACGAGAGGGGAGTACACATAACGTCACAAGGCGTGGAAACGCGGGGGAGCGGTGAGCCATGCCGTTACCAAAGTGCTGGCAGACCATATCGCTGCCCGAGCTGGCACCCTCACGTCGGGCGGCTGGTGGCACAGCTGCAGCGCCGGGGGCGGCTGTTTTTGTTCCCCCTTCTGTTTCCTCGCTGAATTTTGATGAGGAGGCCGTTGTGGACACAGACAGGAAGATTGAGCGACACCGCTACGCCAAGCTGCTGCTGCACCATGTGGCGCGTTACCAGCAATTCACATCGACGGATCTTTTTGCCGAAACCTTTCTGCGAGATATTGCACTTCAGGATGGCGTCACCCCGCAGGCACGAGCAGCAGCTGCAACGTGGGTAATGAAGCTTATGTGCAGCAGCTCTTCAAAAAAATGGTTGATGGAGCCCCTCGTGGACGCCCTTTTTCCCGCAATATATCGGGACTACGACGAGCAAAAACTTGACCACGCACCCCCTTCGATCCAAGCCCTCGTGAATGACCGGACTCTTCTCCGCGACAACCCGTACTTCTCTCACTCCATGTACGTGCAGGATATCGTGACGATTAATGCAACCATCGAGACTCTTTCACGAAAAATTCAGCGCACATTTCCAGCGATCATGCAGTGGAAAAGACTTGTGGTTATACTCGCTGAATATGTGAGAAACACGATCAAACGGAGGGCCTTTTCGGCATGGCGGGAGTTAGCCAGGCGACGCCGTACAGATGATTTGCTTCGACGCAATGTTATTATTCGTCACGAGAAAAATATACGTTCTTCGCGCCTTCAGGCGGCCTTTTTTCGATGGAAAACCGCGGTGGAGACTTCCCGCACGGAATATCTGACGGAGCGGTTGCACCAGGCGGCATTTCAGTTAGAGAGCGCCAAAAATCAGTTTCAGATGCAGTGCTTCCGATCCGACAAGTTGCAGCTCAGTCATGAGCAGGGACAAGTCGAAATTCAGAATCTCATAGAAGAGCGTGATGAGTTGTTGAGAAGCGTGGAGGAGCTTAAAGAGACCCTTGTCCTCAGAGAGAAGGAACACCAGGATCGCATGAAGAATTGTGTTAGGGAAGTGGTGACACTTGTACAGCAGCAACGGTGCATACTGCGGAGGGCGATTGATGCCCGTCTTTGCGTTGAGGAGATTACGGCTGGCTGGCTTGACGAGGCGATAAGTGAGTTTAAGTCAAAGGCAGCGGATGAGGAGGCGTTGCCGCCTGGCTACAAATTTCTTCTGAAGTGGTGCAACCAAATATATTTTAGGCAGAGGACTAAAAAGCCCCTGCGGGTTTCCAACTTTGCGGCGGACTTTGCAAACGGTGAGGCGTATCTTCTTCTCCTGCAATATGTCTTTTCGGGGGATCAGTTGGCCACAATAAAGCCCCCACCGCCGCCGATGTGGTTGTCGAAGGTCAACAAGACAGAAAGGTTGAATCGGGTGTGTCAGTTTGCCGCAAGCACCCCGCTTGCCATCGCCTTGGAGCCGGTGGATCTTTCCGAGAAGCGAGAGGACAAAATTGCCGCAGCCGTCGCAGAGATATTTTTGTACCACATCAGAGAAAAGCGAGTCATGTACACAAAAAGGGCTTTACAAATTGTTAGTGATGTGGCGTTGCGGTCTGAACCCGGCGCTAATAATTTTGCTGCCGCGATAAACACCCCTACTAGGAGTGAATCCGCGAGTGGCAAGGATAGTGCTTCTGATAGTGTCGGTGTGTTTGATGATGGTTTTGGCGGCGCCGCGAGTTTTCATGATGAAGAAACGCTGCGACGACAAGTGATGGAGTGGGGATGCGAACTGGAGCAATGGGAAGCGGAACTGCAGAGGAATGTGGTGCAGGAAAACAAGCTGCAGCACTGTGGTGTGACCATCGCTCACGATGCCGCCCATATGATGCGGGAAAGAAGCAAAGGACAGCCCGTGTATGTTGTGACGTCAAGCACGGGTCTTATATTTACCAGCATCAACGCAAAAAACATGGAAGACCTCCGAACGAAGTTCAAAATGCCAAATCCGCAAGGATGGAAGACGTTGGTTCGAGTGGCGCTCAAAAATGTACTCTGGAAGCACTTGCGGCTCATCGCATCCCACTTTTACCACTTCGCCGGTGTTGATGCTCGGAAAATGAGCGAGGTGCAGTTTTGGCGCTTCGTCGAGGAAACCCAAGTGGCGGCTGAGCCATTAGCTCCATTGGTGGCTATGCAAATCTTTGACGCGGTCGTTTCTCCACAAATTGCATCGATCTGGCGCGTCGCTGGGAAGGATGAAAAGCGGGAGAAGATGCTGGAAGCCGTGCAAGAGCAAATTGAAATACGCTTTCTGAAGCCCAACCAGTTTACTGAAATACTCGTGCGCCTTGCGGTGGCACGGTACAAGGGTGGCATCATTGAGGCGACGGAACATTTTTTGTCGGAACTGCGGCTTCCTGTCATGGAGCATATTTTGCCCATAACGCTCCTCTTTTACGAGCCAGAGTCGCAGCGAGTCATGAGTTATTTTCAGCACGATCTGGCTCGCGTGTTCTTTTTTTATATGAATCATCAGTTAAACGAGAGTCTGAAGGGACGGTCTCACAAAATGCAAGGCTGCGGACGTTTCATGGCGCGTCTCTCTTATACGACTTACATAAAGATGTTTGCCGACTGCGATTTTATTCTTCCGGAGCAGGATGGCGAGTCCGGCAGCGTTGGCTACCAACGAAAGACACGTTTTATGTCTATAGACGAGGTATTGAAAATGTTAGAGGACGTGCAAAGACGCATTCCATCGATTTCCCCCGGAGAACTGTGCTTTTCGCTCTTCTTGGAGACGTTTGGCGTGGCCTGCACGTACTGGTGGCCGGATCCAGCTGTGCCACTATCACGCAAACTTGCCGCATTCCTTTCGCGTCTTGTGGAGAAGTTACGCGCGGTGTTCGCGAGTGACGTGCTAATTTTGGGCAACCCGCCGTGCGTTTCTCTTGAGGGCGGCGCACATGTGGAGTTATTCTAACAGCTGACTCAAAAGAAAAAAAAAAAAAGGGGGGGGGGGGGGGGGGGGGGGGGGG